TTTATAGCTATACTTTTTTGCAAGGCAAAAGTAGTGTGTAAAAATTACAACCTACCTCCACCCCTGGTGACCTCAGTACCTACTTGTGCACTTCCTGTGCGGCACCCGTTTTGTCTCCACCTCTGTGCCTGACTCCTATTTTTCTCTCTCTCACTTTCTGACTCCTGTGCCTGGCAGCTTCACTTCTTTCTATGAATCTAATTTCCTTTTGTTTTTCTACCACAACCTCTCCCTTTACTTACCACAGATTGTTCATAATATACTTGACATTTTTATATGTACATATTTTATTTAACGAACACAGTTTTGCTCCTATAAAAAAAAAGCAGAGATGTTGAAAGAAAAATAATTAAATTGAACTTTTATCATGCCTTTGCCCAAGTATGTGTTTTTGTATGGTGACCATGGATGGACAAATATAATTCCACATTTCTGAAATAAGAAATGTTTCAGCTTAAGTGTGTATTTTAGTATTTCAAAGAACATTGAAAAAATATATGTTTCAAACACATTTTATGTTCTACAAACTCTAGATAATAGGTGAAATACAGGGTGGGCAAAAGTAGGTTTATAGCTATAAATATACAAACATAGTTTATTCTTTTATTATTTGTTAACTATTGTATTATTTTTCATAGAAATAACTGTAAACCTACTTTACTTGCTTTAAATTTCAGCACCAAATGTTTGACTAATTATTCTTTTTGCAATTAAATAAGTCATTTCTTAACATGAGAAAAATGATTGTCTCTATTATTTTTAGCCAAAAAGTCAAATGTGTAATTACCATTTCCAGTTTGTTTGTTTTTGTTTGTTTATTTTTTTTTTACTTTGTTTCCAAAACAGACAATAGTAACATCAAAATTGTTTTTGGATTTTACTCTTTATTTTTTAAATTTATTATATATAGTTTTTTTCTTTATTAATTAAGGTATTACATATGTGTCCTTAATCCCCCATTGTCCCTTCACCCCCCACTCATGCTCTCATCCCCGCTGGTGTCTGTGTCCATTGGTTATGCTTATATGCATGCATACAAATCCTTTGGTTGATCTCTCCCCCTTACCCCCACCCTCCCCTACCTTCCCTCTGAGGTTTGACGGTCTGATAGATGCTTCTCTGTCTCTGGATCTGTTTTTGTTCATCAGTTTATGTTGTTCATTATATTCCACAAATGAGTGAGAACATGTGATATTTATCTTTCTCTGACTGGCTTATTTAACTTAGCATAATGCTCTCCAGTTCCATCCATGCTGTTGCAAATGGCAAGAATCAACTCAGAATTGCTTGATAAATTTGTAACTCAGGTAACCTATTTTGATCCAGAACACAATTTGAGAATTGTATGAACTGCCTGTTTTTTGCAAAAGATAACATTGGCCTATAAGGCTTTTCTTTTGACATCAAATTGTAAGGCAGGGAAAATTACACTGCATATAAGCCCTAAGCAAATGCTTTGTGGTGGTGACAATGATAAAAGTGATGATGAAAATGGTTGTTATGTTCTGAGTGACATATTTAGTATCACACATATCCCCAAGACAAATAAATTAATTCTAATAACCTTCCAGGTAATGTTTAAAATATTCTAGTTCTGAAAGAGTTTTTCTAAACAAGAATAATAAGATTTTCTATAAGATTTTGGATAAACTTAGTTTTCTTAAGTCTGAGAATTCACATTGCAACTTTTATAACTCTACCTTTTAAAAATTCTAGGCTTGCTACATCCACATAGGATTGATGTCTTTGAAGATTATATATATGGAGCAGGACCTAAAAACGGTGTATTTCGAGTACAAAAATTTGGCCATGGTTCAGTAGAGTACCTAGCTTTAGATGTTGGTAAAACAAAAGGTGTTTTGATATCTCATCGCTATAAACAACTAGACTGTAAGTATAATATTTTATACAATTGTCTATATTGGTGAATTTTCTTTCTTGTCACTCTCAAAAGAAAGTATTTTTTAAACTGTCTTCATTATTTCAATGTCTTAACCCCAGTAACTTAAATAACTTTAATTTTGATATCACCAGACACTAAATTACCAAAATCAAGATATAAATAATACAAAATTTTTTGTTTGTCATAACAAATATGAATATGTCAAGATTTGCTGTGTTTTCTTGTTATTCAATTCGACATTGTTTTTTTTAATGTGTCTTTTATTTTTATATGATTTTATCTTAATAAAATCTTGTGAGTCTGTAGACAAGTGTAGGAAATTCATCATTAGTCAGTTTGACTTTTTTTTACTGATACCCAAGTGACAATTATATCTCTAACATGCCATCCTTAGATGTATCTGAGGAGAGCTCTTCTCAAGGGCTGTTTTCTCTGATTGTTCATGACTTTTATTGTTACTTTCCCCCCCAGAAGGGAATTGGAAAATAAGGGATGCTGTTATCTTGAATGGTATATTTTGAAAACAACTATCAAAAATATTGACAACCAGAGTAAAAATGTGGCTGAAAATCCAATGACTCATCTCTGTTTATGAGTTCATGCTTCAAGAGAATGTTTAAGATTTATTTATTATTAATCTTTATGGAAAATAGAAAGGGATTTAATCTCATTTGGTGCAATGATCTGGAAAGGTAACAAAGATATTTATCCAAATCAGTGATGGAAACAATTAAAACAGCATATAGTCCCCTAAAAACTTCCTAGAATTCTACCTCAGGTTTTGCTGCTCTTTAGCAGTCATCTGACATATATAGTTCTAAGGTTAGTAACATCTGTTCCCCTATTAAGGTGACCAGTAAGATTGAAATGAGATAATTCCAGCAGAAACTTGATGTGATTGCTAATTCCATCATTTCACCTTATTGAATTTCATGTTCTTGAAACCTATTGTATTTATAGTTATGCATTTCTTTGTTTTCTTTTAACCAGTACCAAATCCTTGCTTGGATTTAGCATGTGAATTTCTCTGTTTGCTGAATCCTTCTGGGGCCACCTGTGTGTGCCCAGAAGGAAAATATTTGATTAATGGCACCTGCAATGATGACAGCCTGTTAGGTAGGTAAACTTCATTATATTGGTAAATAATGAATTCATCTGTATGATACATTTTTACAGCTATAGACACTGAGCAGAACTAGCTACTCAGTCATCAATGTACTTTCCTTAATAGCATTGCTTCTTGAATACCTCCATAAACTGTTCTTCTGATGATAACTTTCTATTAATTCATTTTACATTTATTCACAAAGCTGCATTGAGCACTTATTATGCATTTAAGAGTAGGTTAAGAACTTTGAAGTCACACACAGATCAAAATGTATTTTTATATAGCTCGTATATCAGTGAAGATCATGTTTCTGAGCATGCCATTCTGCTATCAGTTTAAACTCAACCCCCAAATACATTTAGTCATTCAACAAGTATATATTGAACAACTTCTGTGTGCCAATACTAATTTAGAAACTGGTGATTAATTTATAAAGAGTCTGAGTTTCCTCTGTGTAAAATTTGATTAACAATAAATATTACCATTACCATTAAGAAATGTTTTGAGGGTTATGAGCAAAGCATAACACTAATTTAGAAACCAACGACTAATTCAGAAACAAAACCTCCAAGATATCTGTACTCATGAAGTTAATAATTTAGAATCTAGAGGTTGAAACAAACATTAAAATAAATTGAAACATAATTTCCAATGCTGATAAGTATTAAAGAGCAAAAACTTTAAAAAACACAAATAGTGTGATCTCTTATATTTAAGACACACCTAAACGACCATTCGACTGTTCAACTGTCTGACCATTCAACCTGTAGCTATGATGCACACTGACCACCAGGGGGCAGATGCTTAATGCACAGACATGGAAACATGGAACAGACTGATGAATCTCAGAGGGAAGGGAGGAAGGGGTAGGGCGGGAAGAGATTAACCAAAGATTTCATATGCTTACTAGAGTCCTGGTGCACGGATTCTTGCACTGCAGGGGTCCCTCGGCCTGGCCTGTAGGCATTGGGCCAAAACCAGCAGTCCAACATCCCCCGATGGGTACCAGATTGTGAGAGGGCGCAAGCCAGGCTGAGGGACCCCACCAGTGCATTAATCCGTGCACTGGGCCTCTAGTCTTAACTATAAAATAGGCATGACTTTAATAGAAGGCATATTCTAGAATGAAATGCCTCTTACAATATTGTCAATCATTTCTGTTTCATTGGACATTGTGTCTTGCTTTAAGTAAAGCAGTATTTCTAATGGAGCAGGGATATGTGAACACATATAAATAAATTACCTGAAAAATGATTTCAAGCCAATCTTTTTTATTAATCAGACATCATATTTTTAAGAAATAATTTTCCTATTCCAAGAGATGACCATCCTTTCTCATTCCCAGCCAAACTATATGGAATAGACAAATTGTGCCTAATTATTTTAAATATGGAAATTTTACACATAGAAATGTTTCTACACTGTTCTATTATCACCTTATACCTGTGGTTGGCAAACCGCGGCTCACGAGCCACATGCGGCTCTTTGGCCTCTAGAGTGTGGCTCTTCTACAAAATACCACGTGCGGGGCGTGGCCCATGCGCAGAAGTCGGTATTTTGTGGAAGAGCCACACTCAAGGGGCCAAAGAGCCGCATGTGGCTCGCGAGCCGCGGTTTGCTAAGCCACAGTTTGCCAACCACTGTTTATACCAAATCTAAGTGACTTTTGGTTTGGAATATTTATATATATAGTTAATAAGTATGTACATCAAAGAGTATATTTTTATTTTAAAATGCCCCTATACTATAAATTGTATGTCTATGTATATAATATACTTATTATTATATATACAATATAATACATTTATTCTATATGTAAAGATATATGTTTATATACAGTTTACATATTTCAGTTTGGTTTGAAATTAAACACTTCTAAACAATGGGCTATGATTGCCCACATTATAAAAAATACTTATTGGTTGAACAATATTTTATTTTTAGAAAGTCTCAGTTGGTTTTATTACTTACTGTTTTAACAACTATAAGAAATGTCTAATAATGTTTTAAGCATATAGAAAAATAAAATTTAATTCAACATTTGTATTCACCATTCAATAATGGTTGAAAGTTATTTCTCTGTTTTCACATAATTTTATTTCTCCTTTTATATTAGGAGTATTTATTTTTGGAATTTTTAATAAAGAAAATCCTAGTATTTTTTATTTTCTAAAAATATTTTTATTCTACTATCCACTAAATGGCATGCTAATTCATACATTTCTTTTTATAACCAGATGATTCATGCAAATTGACTTGTGAAAATGGAGGAAGATGCATTTTAAATGAGAAGGGTGATTTGAGGTGTCATTGCTGGCCTAGTTATTCAGGAGACAGATGTGAAGTAAACCACTGTAGCAACTACTGTCAAAATGGAGGAACTTGTATACCATCCGCTCTGGGTAAATGTTTGAGTTTCATTGTCTATTCAAATCACTTGCAATGTTCTGTAAACATGAAAAAGAAAATAATGTTACAAATATCATTTCTGGTACCTTAATAAAGAATACATTAACACAAATTAAGTGGAATAAGTAATTTAACATAATCAATGACATTTGTTCTAAATTTAGTATTTCAAGGTTCAAGACATCTAACTTAACAATAGTAATGACATCACCAGGTGTTGAGTGTGCCACGTGCCAGATCCAGTGGTCACAGATTCTGACTCATCAGGCTTAGAATGATGACGTGAAACCAGTTTTGTAAGCCTTATCTTTGACTTGAATACCTGTTTGTTTTTAATTGAATAGTTTGCCTAATGCTAAGAATCATTTGATATTGAAAATTAGGTTCATTTTAAATGTAAATATATTAGTTCAAATGTGTTTCACTACTTGAAAGAATACTTTGCTAAAGATAGTGTGCGGAATGCTGATAGCTCCTTTAAAGTATCATCTATATATATAAAAGGCTAATACGCTAATTGCCCGGCCATCTGATCAGTCACTGTGAGTGCACTGACCACCAGGGGACAGATGCTCAATGCAGGAGCTGCCCAGATGCAGTGACATGGCAGCGGCAGTTCTCAGGTGATGCACCCAGAAACCAGAGAGGAGGGAGCCTGATTCCTACATGATTCCACCTTCGGCCGTGGGTTATGTTGTTGCTGGGGCACTGTGGGTCCCGAATCTGGTTTATTGCACACTTGCATTTGTGTTCCACACCCTGAACAACAGCAACTTTTCAGAGTGCCCTCTCACACTCTGGGACCCCTTGGGGGATGTCAGAGAGCTGTTTTCGGCCCGATCCCCACAGGCCAGGCCAAGGGACCCCACCTGCTGGAGGGACCCCGCTCACTCTGCAGATGCCCTTCGAGCCACGGCGCCATCTCAGGTGCGGCCAACTGGGGAGGGAACAAGAGAGGTTGACTCCAGGGCATATCTGGGCTGTCTCTCCCTGTCCCACCAGCTACCTTCTAATTAATTTCCTTTCAATGTGCACAAATCCGTGCACCAGGTTACTAGTTACAATATGCCATTAACTGGGGCAGCATGATGGCAAATGTAGCTTGCAAGTATCTCTTTTATAAACTACTAGAGGCCCGGTGCACAAAAATTTGTGCACTCAGGGGGGAGGAGGGTCTCTCAACCCGGCCTGTGCCCTCTCGCAGTCTGGGACCCCTCGGGAGATAACAACCTGCTGGCTTAGGCTTGCTCCCAGGTGGCATAGGGCACGCCCAATCCCTAGGTGCAGCCCCTGGTCGGGCTCAGAGCAGGGC